AAATAGCTAATATAATAATAAGCTGATCCTCACAACTTGACAGTCTAAATCACTTCTGTTTATAGAAATATGATTTGGACTCTTATAAACTAACAGATTGTTACACATTTAGACTATAGAGAACACCTACATTGAACCCTATCAAAAAAATTTAATATGTTAAAATGGGAATGAAAATACTAAACCGTATTTACAGTTTAAAAATCATTTGATACAACAAAGAAGAATAAAGTAATTTAAAAAAAAATCTATTTATTTAAATTTATTATTGTTTGGCAAAAAAAAAGAAAGATTATAGACCTCATTATCATTTTACTCTCAAATTAAAAATAATTTAAAATTACTTGTTTATTTGCACCACATATGCACTTTTTTGTTTGTCACGTACATAATTTCAATTCAAGATTGTTTTTTTCGAAAAAGATTTGCTTTTGGTATTAGAGCAGTTTAAACTCATATAAAAATATATGGTTAATACTTTCTGCACGTAGACAAATTTATATTTAGTTTGTGGAATAATATTTTTTACATCATAAGGTCTACTAATAAACTACCATAATCTTATAAAATACATAGAAGGTCTTGTTTATTTTGAAAATTTTAAAAACCAGAAACCAGAGTGTTTTTCGTTCTCTATACTTAATAAAAAAATACTTTAACATACTTTTGTATAGTATATTGTAAATATGTGCAAACATCTGTTTTACAAATACGTTTTTCACAAAATAGTTTGGTTTTTAGACCCTTTCAATGTGGGTGGAAGTGAAAATGAATTGTAAAATTAAATGTAATAAAAATTTTTTGTCTCATATTTTTATTTAGATCTGTGCTTTTTGGTTTTTTGAATTTAAGAATTTAAGCAGTTTAAATTTAAGTATTTAAGCAATTTAAATAAAATTAAATGATTATAGAAAATTTATAAGAAAGATTAAAGCTTTGTTTTTGTATTTGAAAACACTTAATAAATTATTTCAATGTCGTTTAATTAAACATTATCGTTGAGCCCTCATTTTCGTATAAATTATAAAAAAAAAATTTTAAACGCAATTAAAACCATACAATATACTAGTTGAAACAATTTCGAACTTATATTAGAAACATAAAATGCACAAAGAGATTATTTGAAAACACTTAATAAATTATTTCAATGTCGTTTAATTAAACATTATCGTTGAGCCCTCATTTTCGTATAAATTATAAAAAAAAAATTTTAAACGCAATTAAAACCATACTATATACTAGTTGAAACAATTTCGAACTTATATTAGAAACATAAAATGCACAAAGAGATATTACAAAGCAAATTACTAATTAGTGCTACCTTAAATTTGTTTGGGTTGATTTGGTATAACACAAACTTGGTTTGCCGAACAAAATAATTGCATATACCTAGGTACTTCGTAGATATTTCATTTAAAATTTTCAAACATTGATTCCATATCGAAAGCAAAAAATATAATTATAGGAAAAAAAAAATGCATATTAGCTCCGTAATTCATACTTCATATTTCCACATCCATATTACCAATTTTTTAAAATACCATCTGTATAAAAGTTAAAACATAATGAGAAAACAATTATTTTAGCCATAGCTTTTATGGTAATATCCTTTTCTTAATATAACCGTAAATGTATGTTATAATGTATTACCTATACTCTTTGAGTGCCTTAAAAAAATTACACAATTAATACACTCATTATGTATGTATGTAGGTTGGTAGCAAAAACCGAAACTTCCTCAAATTAAACAACAATTGAATGGTCTAAGTTCAAGTAGTGAAGGCACTATAAGCTTAAATATAGACTTTTCTGTTTATACACTAAAATCAAGTATATTTTTTTTATTTTTATTGATTTACATTCATAGTTTTTGTTTAATTGTTGTTTTTTTTGTTTTTAGTACTGATAAAAGTCCACATGGTCTAGTTAAAATATACACATAGTAGTTAATGCGCATATTTTACATTTCCCCACTTTTAAAACTTCGAAATAATAAAATAATAAAAAAATTCAGCATCTATTCTATTTTTATGTAGTAGAACAATATTTAAACTGTTATACAAAATTTTTGCATAGGCTTAAGTTCTCCATGTACATTAGTAAAATGATAAAATGTGCTAAGTATTTATTTATGTTTTGTAGTGATTTCACATAGTGTTTGGATATTATTTTCATAAATCTATGAAATATTTACTTTGATTTCCATTCTAAAATAAACGTCATTAAATAATACAAATTTGAGGACTTTTAGCTGTACTTATATGCGTACAGGACAGATACAATAGCATTATTTAGATGCAGTATATCACGCTTAAGTACAACACGGATAAATGCAAAACGCGTTGAAGTAAAAGTTTTTTCGATTAACATGCACCATTTATTTATACATATGTATGTAGTTCTCATGAATTAGTTCGATATAAGAACACATAACTGCATAATTTCGTATAATAACATAAAAATTTCGGAAGTACACACAAATTTGTTTATATAAACTATTACTCATGTAAAATTTTTTGTACCTATATTTTTGACACACTGCTTACAAAATTTCAATTATTTTTTTCAATAGATAACAATCTACGGACTGTTCCGCATATTTTTATAATCAACAGTTATTTACGACTGTGGATCATGACTGTGTAGGGCTCGTCTCGTACATAGCCACATATTTCAAGTAAACAATGATTAGATTTTTGCAACAACTGTTTTAAATTAAATTTTTATTTAATTAATTTAGGTGGATTTGAAATTATACTTCATTCTGTTTCTGTGATGTAGAACTAATAGATTTTTTGTTTGTCCCCGGTTTTATGTAAAAAACATATAGACATACCTAGGTGCATATAGATAACAAGTTTTTTTTCGAATAAATAATTGACTGACATTCTAAATAAACTTTTCTTTGCCACAAAAAAAATTATACAATCGATTTTTTAAAATAAACTTTTTTAAATTTGTTAACATTCCAATTAGAAATTTAAATACCTGAATTTGGTAAGTCAGTTTGAGTTCCCCATTAGTACTTCAAAAACGCGACGCAACGTTGATTGACGCAATTAGCACTCATTTTTACTTATTTTTCTTTTTATGCACGAGATGGCGGAACAACTCGTGTGTTTTGTGTTATTTTATTTGCATATGTCAAAGTATATTAATTTTTGATCGGTAGCATTATTGTTACTTTTAAAGAATATGTATTATCTTAATACAAGACCTTTAAATTTTTCTACATACCCTACCTATTATTCATGATCCAAAAATATAGCGAGTTTTAAAGTTCTTAAAATATAAAACTTTTACTATATATTTCAATAAAACAAGTTTCTATTAAAATTTATTAGTTGACCTCCTATGTATGATTTTATTTTGAAGCGACCTTGTTGGTCAATCTTTATTAATATGTTTACTCCTTTAAACACAAAGCCGTAGAAACACCATTTTAAAATTGAAGACAAAAATTTGAAAAGGTATCGATTATCCAAATGATGGTCAACGACTATTAGAGCCCATTACAAGGGGCAAAAAAAATTATTTAAATAAAAAATTTTCTATGAAATTAATCACAACCTTCAAAAACTTTTCCTAACAATATTTAAGTATTAAATTTTTCCGTATCATTAACTTCAAATTCTTGTAATTATATGATACATCTGTATAGGTAATATATATATGTATACATATGTACATACATATGTACATCTTATACAGGTGGATATGTATTTGAATTTTTTCCTTGGTATCCTTGAAATTAAATACTGTGGACAAATAAAATGTTTTAAAAATTTTGACTGATATAATGAGTGGTTGAACGAGCAAAGTTATGGTTGACTAGGTTGATCGGTAAAAATTTAATCGTATTTGTTCGTACAATGTTATATAAAAAATGGATTTAATCAGTTAATGGATTGTGGTGCAAGAAAAATGATTAAATTTTAGTTTTTTCTTATTTTTGTTTTATTTTATATTTACATACATAAATCTAAATTCGAATACTATTATGTCATTTTTGTCTTTCCAATATGTTTAAAATATAACTCTACTCAAATTATAATAAGAATTTAACTGTCAAAATTTATTACATATTATAGGTAGTAAAGCCATCAAACTATGTCAATGAAATTGATTCCTTGTGATTCGTGAAGTGTCACATAAAATAACTGCATGTACAGCGCTGCACCTAAAGCGCTAATAAAAATTCATCGGTGAAAAATATGGCTTCATTATCGAAGGCGCAATTTAAGATGTGACAAGGGTATGTATAACATTTTGTCAAAGGGATCAAAATTAATGCATTCAGAACAGGGATGCGCTTGGTTTTCAATTAGACTTTTTAAATTGTTTAAGGTTTTAAAAATCTTTGTAAAGTTGTCAAAGTTTTCCAAAAATAAGGTTATGATTTTGTCAAAAAAGCTTGACAAACATATGAAGTTGATAAAGAGACTTAAAATGTTGTACACCTTTGCTTGACGTAATTGACATGAATAAACACAATGAAGATACAGAAATAAAAACAGATTTAAAAATTTATGGAGATTATTGCACCTCTGTGTCAGGATGTATTGCGAAGTATTTTCAATATTATTTTAATTTAAAAAATAGAGAAAATTGTTTTTAGTCAATAACTTTAAAGCTCGACGAAAATTATTTTTGTGCAAAAACATGTCATCATTCTTTTAAACATGCCTTTTAAAATTCATTCAAAAAATTTTAAAGCATGAATAAAAAAAACAAGCCCTGTTTCTGTTGAAAAAATGCAAAGTTGAATAAGAAAAAAAAATTGTTACGTTTTGAGATTAAAAATAAATATAATAATTATCTGTTTGGGCGACCTCTGGTATTCATGCTAAAACGAAAATATCTGTCATATCATAGAAATAAATATAATGTGTAAATTTCACTAAAATAAAATGTCACTTTACAATTCGAGTATCGAATAACTTCAAACATAACCTTAAATTTAAAAATGTCAAGTCAAATTTATTTTATGAAAATATAAAACAAAAAGTCAAAACAAAGAGAAGAAAAATTTTGTGTGGTAGAAAAATAAATTTGGAAATTCCATAAAATTATACATATATATTTACAATATAGTATTTTATATAGTATATAGTAAATAAAAAAAATTAAAAGATTTTTTTTACTGAAGTTTAAAAATAATTTTTAATCTTGAAAATATGGCATCCGATGTAGTAATGGCACAAGATAGTGTCGATGTACCGGCTGTACCAAATCAATTAGAGCAATTTACGATTTTAGCAAAATCAGCTAAAGGTGCTGCTTGCTTAGAGTTAATTAAACAAGTTTTAGAAGCCCCTGGAATTCATGTTTTTGGAGAATTGCTTGCAATGCCAAATATTGCAGAGGTAATGAATGATAATGGAAGTATTATACATAACTATTTTTATTTATAGCTAGCAAATGGTCCAAATGCAAAATATTGGAATACATTAAATTTGTTTGCCTATGGAACATATAAACAATATACAAAAAATCCTAAGGATTATCTGGAATTAACACCAGTAATGAAGAAAAAATTGCAACATTTAACTATAGTTACAATGGCAGTTCATACTAAGTGTATTCCATATAATCAGCTATTAGAAGAATTAGAAATAAAAAATGTTCGTGATCTAGAAGATTTAATTATTGAAGCTATTTATTCTGGTAAGATTATAATGTTGTTTACTAAAACTATATTAGAAGTGTACAATTTTCTATATTGCCCGCAATTTAAAATGTCTGTCATTTTTGGTAAAAGAACAACACAAAACAAAAAAAAAAACAACACAATGACTATTATTATAATTTCTACAAAAATAAAACTTAGCACATCAGTTAAACTTAATCACTATTGATAAAAATTCAAGCTAGTTTAAGTCTCAATTAGTACAGACACTTCTCAAATTACCCATGAAACTTAAAAAATTCAATACCTATATAAGTGGGTTATTTATTAAAAGAATTTCTAGTCTAATACATACACTTAACCAAGACAAAATAAATTAGGCATATGATATCGATAATTTTTTATTTGACAGGGTGGGTAGTACATACCTATCTACTTAATTAAATATAAAATTGGTATTTGGACCACAATAAGTATGATGTTAACACAATAGAATCAGATAGCTTGAAACATTTTTTTATTTAATAAATCGAAATATTTTTTAAAGGCTTTAAATTTTATATTTGAAATTTGAAAGTAAGATTGTGTGTAATTGTTTATTTAAACTAGAATTTTTCTGGTATTTACCGTCTTTGAATTGTTCTTTGATAAATACAAAAAAGCTTAGTATTGGAATATTATTTAAGGTTTTAAAACAATCAATCAACGATCCACAACTTTCTATTCATATGGTTTTAATACTCTATTTAAGTGTTTCCATCTAAATTCACTTGAATACAAAAAGACATCTAAAAATTGAGTATGAATTTCACTATTTCATTCAATCAAAATTTAAAGGACGGTTTCCAGATTTAATATTATTTTCTTTGAGTGGATTTAAAATTAATTAAATATTTGTCTTATTACTTATTGAGCTAGTATGTAGTTTTTCAGCTGGTAACTTCAAAACTTAATTCAATTAAAGTTTTAATAATTTACTAAATCGTTGTAACAAAAAAATTGAAAATGCTTAATTTTTTTATAAATTATATTTGAATATAATACCCGTGTATTTACGATTCAGTTTTGCAAAAACTTAACAACTACTTCATTAATTTAAAAATATGTTACTGAAATATTATAAAAACTTGTTGAATATCAATCTAAAAATAATTTCTTTGATATTGGATCGAAATCTTAATTGAAACTAGCCGGATGGTTCACGGAAAAGTAGTTTTTTATCACATCTATTTGCATATTTTTGTAAAATGTGTGGGCTTCATTATTTTATAAGTTATGAAGTAATCAAACGTTTTTTTCCTGAGGGGGGGTGGGGTGAAATTAAAATATGTTGAAAATTTACTTGTCTCGGAAATTGATTTTTGAACCAATGGCAATCTCTTTAAATTGGATTTTAAAGAGAAATCAACTATTAGATTAATGTATAAAGTTTTATCTAATCAATAAATCATCTAAATTGAAATTTTTTCTTAAACTGTTCTAATTACTAAAGATTTTGAAATCACGCATTCATTAAGGTACATATTTGGTCAAGCAAATATGTTAAATATGGTCAAAGTTACTTAAAAAATTTTCTAAATATTAAAAATCTTTAAAAAATTACATATATAAATATATTTTTATGGATTTTATTATTAAAATATTTAATTTCAATCATAAAAGAGAAAAATCCTATCAAGTTGATACAATTTTCAGTTTTAATAAATTAACTTAAAAATTCTTTTAAAATAATATATTTATTTCCATATAAAATACAGTGGAACTTCTGAAATTTCTATACGTATTTATTACAATACAATTTGAGGAAACTATTTTGATAATTAACTATTTAGATTTTGTTTAGATGAAAAAAAGATTTAGTTTCATTTTTCGAAAATTGTATTATTTTTTCAGATAACTAATTACTATATTTTAATGTTATTTATAGTTCTTATTATAATTAGGATTTAAATATCATTGCAACCAAAATACTCAACGTTCTTAAGTACAATAATAATAAAATTAGTGTAGAATTACTATATACTACTATTGCTAAGATTTTAAAGTTGTATAAAATAGAATTTGCGCGCAATTTAAAAGCAGTTATTCCACGTAATTTATAAGTCCTTGCTTGTTTTTTAATTTAATAGTGGGTGAAATCTATTTTAATGTTTTTAATACCATACACGTAGCAAAAATTTACAAATGATTGGTTTACACATAATCACAGTTTGTAATGCAAATGGTTTACACCTAATCCTATTGGAAATGAATTCAAAACAGTTAATAATTTTAAAAAGTAAAAATTTACTTTGATAGCAATTATAGTTTTAGGGTGAGTCAATTTGATTTAGATTTTACTGTATTCATTTTTTTGTTTATAATTATAAAAGTTAAAATTTAATTTGAAACTTTCTTTGTATAATATAAAAAATGTGATATTTACGGTTGCATTTCCATTCACATACTCTTAGTTTTACATACATATGTTGATGCACATACATTTTAGTAATTTTCTCAATTAAAATTTGGTAGTTATAGTTTCTTAATAGTTGTTTATATACAACTCAGACCCAATAAAGGGTCTGAAAATATTAAATTTTATACATTTACTAGTGTATAATAAAATTTTCATGAATACAACATTTGTCTGCTTTTACAAGTGTTGTATATTTTGATATATTTTTAATTTTTTAATATTTTTTTTTTTATTTTTCCCTTTCATCTATACTTATATCCTACAAGGATATTATTTAAGTTAAAATAAATGGGAAAATGTTGATTTTTCAAATATATTTTTGCACTTTTGTTGAATGTCTTGTTCTATTTTTTCTTGTTTTTTTTTTTCGTTTTTCTCTTTGTTTTCAAAGAAAAAAGATTTTTAAAAGAATATCTTTTGTAAAAAATATACTTACATTTTTGTTTATACATATATGTATGTACATATGAAATTATATGAATATTTTATTTAAATTTTTTTTTTGTTATTCAAGTAATTTTCTAGTTTAATTTAAAAAATGTACATTTTATTTTACTTTTGTGTGCATTTTTTAAGGCCGTTCTACAATTTTTTCTTGAGTATTTAATTTAATTTACTAAAATTGTTTTTAGTTGTATTTGATTTTTATATTTTGTTTTTTTTGTTTCTGTTTTAGTATCGCAATAGCATTAGTACATTGGATTAAAATTTGCAATATTATCCTTTAAGAATGCTGCAAATACAAATACAAATTATATCCAGAAAATTAATATTTAATTCAGGCTTGGTTCTGACTGGTTCGGTATCCTACGCGGTTTGTAAAAAGTGCCCCGACCCCCCTATTTTTACATGTTATTATTAATTTTTTTATTATTAAATTAATTATGTACAATTATTATTGGTACATGTTATGAAAGTTTTTTCGCTGTAAATAGAAAGGGAAAATTTTTTGAAAACATTTAATGGAAAAAATTAGAAAAATTTTTATTTTTCACAATTTTTTAGTTTTTAAGTTTTCAATATCATTCCTGTTTTGCAAATGCCGACGCCCATTGTAAATGCTTACTGCATACATATATAATAGATCTGGCCCTGATTTAACTTGTAATTCCAATTAAAAATATGTATGCACTCAGCAATATTTTAAAATAAAAAAGTTTTCAACAATTTCCATTATAATAATATAATTTTAAATATGAATTCCTTTATTTATAGTATGTGCATTATAAAAGATCCAAGTTCTATAAGTTTTTTTTAAATTTAATATAATATTAAATCAAAAAAAGATTTGAATATTTTTAAAAATGCCTTATAATAATTTTTAAAATAATTAATAAATATAGAAGCACTTATCACAAATTAACAATTCAACAAATATACAAAATTAAATTTCTCAAAATCAATAATTTTAAATGTACAATTCTTGAAAATCTATATAAGCTTTTATTTTATTATAAAGAATTTCATTTCTCTATATTAATTTTATTATACTATATTATATTAGTTTTGTTTTTAAATTAAAATAAAAGGATTCAATTTAAAATAATGTTATAAAAATTTTATGTTTTCGTTTTGTTCTACAATAATTTTTTTCTTCGTACTCGTACATAATATAGAACACTATTATTAATAATAAAAACATTACAATTTAAATAATATATGTACATATTTAAAGAGAATAGAATAAATTTATATTCGATTATAAGTAAATTTCTGTCTCCTCTTTATCAAATAAACATTTTATATTTTATTTAATTTTCAAGTGTTAATGACAAACTTCAATTAAAATTCTGTTGAAAAATTAATTTTGTTTAGTTTTCATAAGAATTCAATTTCCGTTTAGTTTGTATCAATTACTTTTGAAAATAACCAGTTATTAAAGTTTTTTGTTTTTCATTTTTAAAATTTAATGAGGAAAGTTAAAATTGAATGCAATGTATTTCTCTACAGTTCCGATTAAAGTAGAAGAATAAATCTTTACGAGTACATAATATAGTTTGTAATATTGCTGTAAGAACAAAAGGTGATTGTTATGCTTAAAATAAATAGTCATGTTAAACACCATAAAGTTAATTAAGAGAAATTTGTACATACATAATATAATAAAGCTGATTACAAGTAATTCTGATTAATGAAATTATCATTAAAGTTGATAAATTGTATTTATCAACTACAACTACCTACATTGGTATTTATCAACTACCTACATTATAAGATTTTTTATTCTAAGATGAAAACATGGTACATATTTTGAATTAGAATTTTCATTGATATGGATTAACCATATCACTATTCCTTGAATTCCTAAAACAAAATAAACTTTTTAAAGCAAAAGGTGAAAATAAATTTAACCATGTTCATTAGTCAACAAAACTATTATAAATTATATACATATATGTATGTATAAATTAAAAATAAATCATGAGCTTTTAACTAAATAAAATTTTATTTGGAAATTAAAAAAAAAGGAGAGCATTTGAAAAATAATTTTTAAATAATTTTGATATTTAATTTTTTGAGTTTAGACACAATAAATTAGTTTTTGTAACATTTTATTTAAAAATATTGAGTTGGGCTCATGAATTTTTATGGAAATTTTTAAATAAACAATTAGAAAACATGCACTTTTTTTAAACTCTCTTCTAAGTACGTGGTTATATTAGTGGCATTCTGAGTAAAAACAAGTTAATGGTTTGTTTTTATACCCGTACGAACGTATGTTCGAAGGGTATACTAAATTTGCCTTACCGTTTGTAACGCTAAGAAATAACGGTCTTAGATGTAGACTCAAGTGTATGTTTTTGATCAGCGTCAAATTCTGAGTTGATTTGGCTTTGTCTGTCCGCCCGTCCGTCCGTCCCAACGATAACTCAAAAAGTGATTGAGCTAAGTTCACCAAATTTTCATAAATAATTTATTGTAGTAAGTGCCAGAACCCTATTTAAATTGGACATGATCGGAGTACCGGTTCGGGTAGCTGCCATACAACTTCAAAATTTATTTGGCTATATCTCAGAAACTATAAAAGTTGTGGTATTGAAATTTCACACAAACGAATAAATTAGTGGGGCCAATGTGCTTGATAAAATTCGTTAAAATTTCTGGGCTCCTTCTGGTAGCTCCCATACAACTTCAGTAGTAGTTTGGCACACACACTATTTTGAAAAGCACAGTACTGAAATTTTGCATAAATTAATATGGCAATACGGCAACTTAAAATTATAGTCTGTTCCATAGTCAGCTATGACATATTTATTCGCACATAGGATAAGAAATTCGTACGGGTATCACAGAGTTGAAAAGGTCAACTCTATTTTTTTTTCTGAAATTCACATAAATATTTATAGTGCAATTTAAATATTACGGCTAAAACAACATATATGTACTTAATATAGAGTAACAAAAGTTTTAAAAGCTGAAATTTTAACATTCTGTTATATTCATGTAAGTGGTTAAATTATAATTATTAAAAAAAAATCGGTGTCAAAGTAGAAATTAATAAAAATTTCTTGTTGAATCATTAGGAATTAAAACTGATACATAATTTTTTTTATTGAATCAATTAGTTTTTGATTTTAATAGCTATAATTATTTTTAATTTTCTGTGGCTATTATGAATTATTAAAAAATTGCAAATTTTGATGATAATCTCTAACATACATAGATTTTTTGAAAATTTAACTTTAAAAATTATTTATACATAAATTATGTATTTAATTATGTTCATTCCTAGAGGACTCTAGAGAAAATCACTGTTAAAAATATTAAGAAAAGTCTTATTCGTGTATATTTTAATAATATTAAACAGTGTAGAAAACGTTTAAATTTTACAAACACATAGTTTGAAATTTTCTCGTATAAATTAATTAATTTCTTATTTATGAAAATTAATTTGTTTTACAGTTTAAACATTTTTATTCTCTTTGGTTTTACTTTATCTTCTATTTGAATAACGTAAAAAATGTGTCCAGAAGAGAAAGTTTGATTTTAGTCAGGATGTCCGAGTATAAAAAAAAAGTAAAAACAAAAGAGCAAAATATTTTTTCCAAGAAAAAGAGAAATTTTTTAATAACTTTTATCATGTACTTTTCCTATTTTTCTACATTTTGTGTTTTCTTGGTTTTAAAAAAAAAAGTTTACATGTCATGAAAAGTTTATCCACTATAGATGCTTCAGAAAAGGGACATAAAAAAACTTAATTTTGTTTTTTGTTTAACATCTCATTTTAAAACGTGCCACGGTAACTGTATTTCAACAAGAAAATTTAATCATAGTTAAAAAACTAATAAAAAAATTTTTTGCCGTTTAAAATTTCCAATTAAATTATTCTGGTTAAGTATTAGGAGATAACTATTTTACAGTGATTAATGCTTTTAATGCTACTAATTAGAGAAATGCGGTAATTTTCATAAGTACTTGGGAACCTATGTATAAACGCACATAATGTACGTATGAGTAAATTAATAATAATTAGGATTTTTTTAATTAGGAAAAAACACGAAATATTCGATAATTCAAATATACACTTAAAGTTCTAACTTAAATCTTAAAAATAATTTTGCATCATTACAGACCTTCTTTAGTATATAACTAGTTTACATTTTCACATTTTTAATGTCTGACATTTTCCTATTTGATTTTTTCCAAACTTAAAATCTTTTTGCGGTTTCATTTGAAAGTTTTGTTTTCTAGTAAAGATCTATTAAACCTGCTACATTTGAAGATTTTGTAATTTGGATTTATTGAATATGCTATTTCTTATATTAAGATCTAAATTAGAAGTGAATTTTCGAAAATCTACATAATTTAAAGACTTGAAAATGGTGAAACCTTGAGGTGATGAGCAACTTATACTTGCTTATTATTGAGAACTTTATAAATAAAAAGACGTCCATGTAGGTCTTTACCTAAGAATTTTAAACATGTTTCTGTGAATCAGACTAAGTAAAAGATCAGTTTTTTGATTAATATAACCAAAGACAATATCAAGTTCGAAGTTATGGACTTTATGATTTTACTTTGTGATTTATTTTTAAAACGTTATCTGCGCAGGTATTGATCAACCTTTCAATATAAGATCATAGAAAAACTTTTTTAACCATTTGGTTTGTTTTTGAGATACCCATTTGTCTAATCTTCAACACGCACATACATATGCATGCACGTAGTTGCGAAATTTCTTGTCTATTACTCATTTAATATCATCTAATTAAACTCAAAACCGTTCTTGATTTGAAATTTATTTTTATTTTGTACAGAAGTTGAAATTCCATGAAAACTTGTTCTACGATATTTTTGGTTTTATTCTAATCAAAATAGCTTTCATTGATTAATAAGCAGTTATTAATCCATATAATTTCCATATTCACTTTTATGTAGGCTGACTCTTTTAGCTCAGAAACCATCAATATTATTTGTTTATTTAAAAAACAAAAACAGCAATGATGAGTGATTAAATAATTTTTAAAATTTTATTCAGACAAAAAAATGTGTTAATATTAAAAATAAAGCAAATTTGGGAATACGTATAAGTATAAAATAAAATAAAAAAACAAATACAAAAATTATTCAATGATTTCCATAAAATCTAAGCAATTTTATTCAGTAGCTGCAGTAGCATTAGTTTCAACTGATTCTACAGTAGCTGTAGCTGCCTTATTTTGACGAACAATTTCAGCCCTTTTTTCATGTTCACGAATTTTCTCAATTTTCTTTTGAATTTCTCTTTCGCGATTCTGTTCAGCTGTTGTTAATTTTGTTTCAATAATTTTAGATTGTTCTTCAGTTTTTTGTGCTACAATTTCTTCAATTTGATTTTTTACTTCAGCTATTTTAATTGTATTGTGTTCTTTAAGACGATCCAACATTTTTTTCTTATTTTCTTCACGAAGTGTTTCTGCGATTTTTAATTTTTCTTCAATAGCTGCCTTTTCATTTTCTTTTTGTTGTTCAAATGAATTACGAGTTTTTTCAATTTCTAATGAATGAATTTTTAATTTTTCTTTAATACTAGTTATAATTTCTTCACGTTTTTCAGTATGTTTTTCCAATTTGGTTACTAGAGCTTCTTTTGATTGTATTATAAATTCTTGATTTAATTCATCCTTTTTACGTGATGCTTCTTCAATTTTTGCTAATTTATTCGATAAATCAGCCATTTTTTTTGCTTCCAATGATATCCGGCGTTCTTCAGCTGCTTTTAATTTTTGTTCAATTTCTTCAGCAGAAACATTTTTAACTGGTGTAGTTGGTCTTACTGGCAATTTAACATCAGTTGTTGCAGGATTTGATAATATAACTTCAAAACTAAGACCACCCTTTGATTTTCCTTCAGAACGAATTTCAGGAACTTGTTCAATATTTTCTTTTGTTTCAGAAGCCATCTTAATTCCAATTAAAAACTAAAAAAATTTTTGAGCGAAACTCTCGTATTAAATGCACTTTTAAAATAAAATCTTTCTCTTAATTTGATTGCTTTTTAAACAGTTTTTTTATGTAATTAAAAATTTAATTTAAATATTTTTCAAGCAATTTTATTTTATATTATTCCTGATTAAAACTTTTTAAGATCACTGCTGGCTGACTAATAATAAATAATTCAAATTGAAACTGAAAAGAAATTTTTTTTCTAAATCGTCTTTATTCTATGTGTTTGTGTTTAATTGGACTTTTGTTGTTTTCGTTTTTTTTTGCCGCAATTGCGAATTGAGAAATTTAGCGACAAGGCTCTGTGTAAACACATTCATAACACACATGCAGGCAAGGAGAAAAATTACAATACATTTATTGCTACTTTTTTTGCACTCAAATTTAGTCTCAATGTTTTGAAAGATTCGGTTATTTGTTTTGTTTTCTTTTTATTAATTTAAATTCGCAATTCAACCGCCTTTCTGAAATTCAAAAAAAATCCACACCAGTTTCAAATAGATTTAATACAATGTACGAAAGTTGTAATTTCTCTGTCACAATTTTAATGAACTTTTAAAACTTCCTTTTCTAAATATGAAAATTATGCTATTGTTCAAATTCAGAGTTAAAACCTTTGTTCTGATCTGAATTTCATAGTTTATTAAGTTGCTTCTGCCCACATAAAAAAGTTTATAAAGGTCATCACTCTCTTGCTTTTATAAATAATTGTTTACATACACAAACACAATGCATATTGAATTTAGCATTGCCATACTTAAAATACTTGCATAGTTTTTGCAGTTTGTATCAAATTTGTTTTGTCAGTTTTAGCATCGATGAAAAGTAACTTTTTAAAGTAGTATTAAAACAACCGAAATCAAAAATAATTTTGAAGAAATTTAGCATTTAGTTAAAATAGTGCGGTAGTTTTTTGACCAATACGTTTTAATATCGTGTCAGGTTTGATAAAGACATTCATAGCATATGTAAAAATCAAATTTAATGTAAATCTTATTGTATTAAAAATATTGTAAATATTTCGATACTGTGTTTATAGTTTATAGTGATATACAGATGACAATTTTTGTAATTATGCAGTAGAACAACTTTTTTTGAGTGGCGCTATTTAAAATTAAAAAAACTCAATTCTCAATAGTAAAAAATGTAGCTCGTTGTGCAATTACAAAAATGAAAATTAACCTAATTTTAAATTCTTTGCTTGCAAAATTTTCTAATTTTTTTTTTGGACTTGTAACTTGAATTATATATTAAAGATTTTAATTATATTAAAAAATAAATAGAAAATTGCAAAAAGACCAAAGCCAAAATCATGTTATGAATGCAAATATATAATTATAAAATTGGAAAATTTAAATACATGCAAGGTAAACTTTGTGAAAATAGTGCGAGAAATGGTTAATATAGTAGAATCTTTTACATTTTGCGGTTGGTTTGGCAATACTACTAGCAGATAATGTGAAATGAAATGAACAGTAAATAAGATATGGCCATAAGAGGGAGTTATATTAAAGTAAAAAAAATTATTACTCATTCTCTTTAACTCGTTTTAAAATAGTGTTATCAGGCTGTATTTAGCAATTCTAAATACATAAATTGAAATGTTGAATATAAATAATATTGCAATTAAATATTGCATATTAGCATGTGGTACTAAAAAATTTTAATTTTATATTTGTATTAGTTAAGTTAATTGTTTATATTAATGAATTTATTAAAAATGTTTGTGTTGAGGATTTATTGAAAAAAAAAATAGTTTCTAATTACATATTTGTATTTTCACAAATACTTAAAATGTGAATCATCTGTAAAAGTGATTGTATGGTAATAAATTATTTGATTAAAATGTGCCAGTGCATTTTCCTACTGCATTCGAATATTACGTAATATCATGGCAACACATTATGAATCTAATAAGTATATCACAAATTTGAAAGTTTTGTGATTGCTTTTATCTACATTCAATGTATTTTTCAACTAAAATTTTTTAGATTAAAATAAAGTGTAATAATGTACTGGACTGATCATAGCAGATCTTATACTCTCTTACTGTATGGTAACATTGACAAAAATAAAAAAAAATGTAACTCAATTATTTTTTAGTTTTTCTAAAGCTGATCTTTATGTAGAATGAGTATGAAACAAAAAATGAGTACTAAAGCAATAAGAAAAATAAATGACAATCAACAACAACAAAACGGCATTGAATTGTTAACAGTGCAAAAGATAAAGAAGGAAAGTAAATGCGAATAACGTTGATGTTCGAAGAGAGTGTAAATAAAGGCAAAGAAATCTCCTTAAAAGGAGTAATAAAGTAGTAGTGATCAAAATAAAACGATTAAAATTTTCTGCAATTCACAATGGTTTGTAAAAAATTTGTGAGAAGTTAATAATATGGTGCAATTGTACCTAGATTTAATAATATGGTCCAATTGTACTTAACATGATTTAATGATGTATAATGAAAAATTTTAGATTCTTATAAATATTGAACTACACATACATATGTAAATGTATTACAATTTCTTAAATAATGAAATTTAATTTTCTTTTATAAATATATGTACATATAATATATAAACATGCACATAGAATATGTATACATGTACATATGTATGTACATAGCTGGAATGTAAATTCCAAAAATTTTAAAAAGTTTATACCTTAAAATTCATTAATGAAAACTAATTGTGAAAACTGAAATTAGACACCGAAATTGATTAAAACCGAGAATATGAGCTCAACCTAAAAATACAGATTTTTTAGTTTCATTTAACAAATTAATATCTTTTGCCTTATAAGTTCAAATTTATAACTATAAAGCATGGATAATGTTCCTATATATTATGATGTTGACATAAGCTATTATGTATTATAAGAAAACTAAAAATAAAAATTTTTTTTAATTCTTACAGATATTATTCACGGAAAGTTAGATCAAAAAAATTGTCAACTGGAAATTGATTCAGCTTTGGGTCGTGATATACGTACTGAAGATATTGCTCTAATTTGGAAAGTTCTAAAAGAATGGTCTCAATCATGTGACTCGGTATTAGGCTGTATTGAGGAGCAAATTAATCGAGCCAATTCTGAAAAGGCAAGAAGAACTAAACACAAAGAGCAAATCGAACAAGAGGTTAGCACATTATTGATTTATTAGATGGTATTTTAATATGATTTTAATTTTAATTTATTTTTAGATAATAAATGTTAAAAAAGCTCTCAAGACTCAATTGACTGACGCTGATGAAGCTATGACATCTGATCAAAGAGAAACTACTCCTGGTCAAGAATGTCGCAAAAAATCATGTAAATCAAAATCTGGTCGTCCAATTGGTAAATCATGGTTTAAGCCATTTACATAAATTTTTTTTTTTCATTTATTTGTAAGAAAGGAAAATCCTTATTACTTTTCTAATTTGAAATAAATTCTAAGAGTATGATGCTAAATTAAAATTTTCTTCAGAACTATAAAAATGGAAAAATGAATTCTTAATAAAAATACTTATATTCAAATAATAAAGTTTATTTAATATTATTATAGTTTGAAAAAGGGTAATTAAACATGTATGTTCATATTCCAGTTTGATTTTATTTCTAGGTCCATGCGTACGATAGGTATATTAACTTAAAAAATTTCAATATTTTATAGGTAAGACCAAACCGAAGTTCTAAATAATAAGCAGTTTTGATTTTATATAAACTAATTATAAGTACAATTCATTATTGAATTTGTATCAATATTGTAAAAGTTAAACTTATAAACCAATATAAGTATTTTCTTACATTATAGCACTCCAAATTAAATTTGAATGCATATTTAAAATTTAATCTCCCTCGGAAGACACAACATTCAATTATTTTGGAAATTATCATGAACATGTTTTCTATTTTCTTATTTTTGAATTGGAAATATTTTACCTTAATTTTGTTATTTTATTTGATTTTATTTCTATTTATTTTAACCAAATTTAAATAAATATTGTTGATTTTAATGAACGATATACGAGTAATAAAAGTACAATATAATTAAAGTTTTTTTTAGCTCAAAATGGTGTAAAACTGTTTGCTAACCCAACTCCTTTATTTTTTAGTTATAAATTTAGTATTATTAACATTTCCAAATTTAAATATTGTTATACTTAGTCATACATGAATTCATAATATGTTATGTAATATATTTCATAAATAAACTATTTTTCAAATAAGTTATTGATATTTTGCATTCGTTAATTGCATAAATCTATGTTATCCATTTTGTAATAGCATAAATTTTCCAGTAGCATGCATATACGTTTATATTATATGTACAAATTTCAACATATGTATATGTATAGTACAGTGTACAGAATATTCACATATTATGTTAGTAAATTTCCTCTTTTATATTTGAATTTAAATTTGATTTCCGTATACCGGAAATTGTGATTTGTTTTACTTTGATATGCGAATTTGTCGGGAAGTTATGTATGTACATATATAATACGAAAACAAATTACTTTGTCTATTCAATTCCTTTAATGTTATACGATAGTCTGTAATTATTTAAAGTTTAAAGTTAAATTTGTTTTTTAATTGGAATTTTTAAAGAAATCAAATTTATTTTTGTTTAAATTTGAAAATTTCAAAAAGACTAGCTACTCGTTTCTAAGATAATTAAATATGGATGCATGATAATTTTGCTTTGATGTTTTTTATGACAAAAAGTTATTCAAAATAGTTTTGCTTTTGAAACATTTGTTCTGAAACATTTTTTTCTAGCGTATGAATACGATACAGCACTGTGAATCTGTATAACTTAAAAACTTTAATTGCAATTTAAAAATTAGTGAAGAATATTGAAATTAAAAGTTGTAACAAATAAATTAACAATTTAATTCCTATTAAGCTGAAGCAAGAATGTATTTAAAGATTTTATTATTTTTAATTTTTTGACAAAATTATTTTGTTTTTATGTTTTAATTATTTAATACACATATTAATAATAACACTTCCTTCGTAGAAAAATTAATGTTATAAATTCTGTGATTAAAGCTTTCCAACTTGTAGAAGAGAACTTTTAAAAAAAGTGAGTGGTATAGTTCAGAGTTTTACATGTAACATGAAAATATTTACCAAAAATAATTAAATTTAAGTATATGTTCTTTAAGAATCAAAAGATGAACCAAATTTTTCAACGTATTAAAAATTAATATTTGAATTTAAAAAAATTAAAGCCATTAAAATGACTAAGTGCTTTATAGTTAGTAACACTAACTCTCTACATTTAACTGAGCAAAATTTTGTTTTAATATTTATTTTCATAAAAAATTTAAGGACTCTATTTGTAAAGTTTCCATAACATCGTTCGAAAAGTCTTGTTTATTTCTTACTAAGCAGCTTAACAATTAAAAAAAGTAAGTAAATAAAATAAATAGAAGTGCTATTATTGTAAATGATTATTTTTTTTTTCGATATCAATTTGATAAGTTTTCATTTTAATGTTTGTATAGGGTGTTGATTGCAAATGTAATTTTCATAACTTTACAGTAATTATAAAAGACAAAGGGGTAAGTTACAGGAAACTATGTATGTATTTTCAAAGATAAGAGATGATACTGCCAAGTCAGCTTTCCAAATTAATATCTTTATATAATGAATAATTTTATTTTTAGATATCAACTAAACTAACGTCTCTGCACTGAATAATATCCCAACAAATCAAGTGCGTTTTACATAAGATTAAACATTATGGTGGAAAATAAATAATGGAGGAATTTTTGTACTCTAGTATGAAAAACGAATTAAAATAATTATTTAATTCTAAACTTATTGTTAAGGAGAATGGAGTGGCAATGTGCAAGAGCAATGAACTGGGAAATAATACTTGATTTTTCAAAGCAAAACACATCCTGAAGAATTTTTAGAAATTCTTTGATTCTTTGCTTTTGTAAAAAATTTCGGCATCAAAAATTATCAAAATATAAGTAATTATTGAGAAAATTCTCTTAATTTTTTAAACGATTTCAAATTTTTTTAAGAGAAACTTTCATCACATTCTAGCAATTTTGAAACACCTTGAAAAACTCTATATACCTTTATCTTATTGAGAAAATATTTATCATTGTATCATTATCTTTTAAGTAACTATTTTGTTTAACATATATATATATATGAATGTGCGTATTTTAAATATGTATATGTATATAAATTTTATATTTTTGCGTAACTTTATGCCCATATCTAAACAGAATTCTTCATCTTATCAAATCTTCATATAAAATACATTATTTGCATAATATATACTTATGTACATACATTTCGTACGATTCACTATACATAAGTACATTGTAAATAAGGTATAGAATAATGTTCAATAAAAAAATTTCAATTGCTAATCATGAGATACGTTTTTTACCATTAATGTCATGGAAATCCTAAGAAAAGGTTCTTAAGAATTTTTTATAAATTTAAAATTCTAATCGTTTGTCTCTTTATCCTTACAGATTTATTGCTGTAAACAATTTATATTTCTCTGGAGATGAACCCACAATTGATAGATAGAATTTTATAGTTTTAAAAAGCGTAATATATCTTATGATCCAATAAAGTTTTCGATATCTGCTAAAAGCTGAATGAAATCTTAATGGCCATTCTTGTCAGTACTTCTGTTTTTTGCGGCGAAATGTTCTTGTAGGCAATGAGCTTCTAAATCTTGGATCGATTACTTTGGCTACATTTTCTATACGATTCCTCTCTCTTATCTCCACTTTTTACTATAGGGAAATATTTAAATATGTATATATTAAATGCGCAGCACTTCCTAAATAATATGTTAGTGGGTTCTTATAAGGTAATACAAAGAAAATACGAATATTTTGGTTACATTTTTTTTTTAATTTGAAAGAATAAAAACAAATGCAAACGTACTTTAAAAATGTTTAAAAAAATAAATTTCAATACTGTAAGGTAGGTTATTTGAAAATTTCATATATTACTCATTATTTATCACTCCCTTATCAGATTTTCATTATCAAATCACAACTGTATATTCAAGCGTCTTATAAAATTGCAGATAATTCGCAGTGTCGTACTTGAACTTCTGATTGTATAACATGACAATTTATAACAAAAATTTTGAAAATCATACTTGTAAATTGTTTTTTGCGATAACTCATATGTGATTAAAAACAAAATATGTATTTCGCGTTTTTGAATTCTCAAATCTAATTTACATATATCCGGAACCAATATTCAAAAACATATGAACCAATATAACATATTGGTTGTTTTAGAGTATGAATTTAAGAAATACAGATTTCCATTTTAACGATACTACTCTATTATGTGCTGTATTGCGTACATTTATGTATAGGAGTGTTTAAATAATAAACTTATATATACATATTAGCTTTCTTCTCTTCGAAATCGCATTAAAACTGTTTTGCTAAATATTGAGCAATTACAATTCGTAAACGAAATTATGTTTTAATACCGTGTTAAATACGTAAATAATTAAAATCAGGATCTGTAGTATTACCCTTGTTATTAATATTGACTATGGTTTGCAACCAAAAAAACAAAATTGAATCATCATTCAGTTGCAAATTAAACTAAATGAGAGGGTACATACACCCAAGTGAACAAAGTTGCTAATCTATTAAACTACATATAGTCAATCTAATGAAGTGCTATTAGAATTTGATTCAAAAACTGCGAGCAAATTACAAATCATAGAATACAAACAACTTTAATTTGTTTGCCTATTTTTGTATTTAAATAACTTAATTAATAAAAAAGTGTTATTACTCGTATTATATTAATACTGCAAAACTATCCTTATTTCTTATAATAATCCGAACTTGAAGTAATAGTTTTCAAACAAAATGCAATCATTAAATGCGTTGAATGGCCTGTTTTTGTTGGTATTAAATTATTAGAACTGTATTATCAAAAAAATGAATGTTAAATTGGTTATTTTCCCATTTTAAGACTGAATTAAATCATATAAAATATTTTTTGTGTGAGGAAAATTACTGAGTCAATCGCCATCGTAACTACTCCTACAGTACGTATTTGTCTTTTCCCAAGAATTTCAATTTTATTTTGTTCGGTACTTATTCGTTAATAATTCTCCGAAAACCTATAACGTGAATTACCAGAGGGTTCAAATTGGATTTAAATAATTGTTCCAATTATATTGTTAATATTATATAATAATATACTATAATTTAATTAAATAAGATTAAATGAAGATTAAATGTTACAAAGATATTTAAAGGCGATTAATAAAATAAATTAAAAGTTTCATATCGAATTCTTCACATGGCCATTCCATTATGTAGACAATAAAACTTACTATAACGTTAAAAAATTTATTTAAAAATTAAAATTAAATTTTCGGATTATATGGGATATAGTATAGGATT